ACAAGGGGTACGAAAAATTGCGCAGGGTTTACGCTGTTATGCAACTGCTTACTCAATAAGCCGCCCTTCCTATGTACGGCAAATCGCATATGTTTTTGAGTGTGGTATCGATTATGGGTTTCTGTTGACCTTCAAGACAGTGAAAATAAAATGGAGGTAAAAGAAATGTGGTTTCTTAGGAGACTGCTAAGAGTATCGTGGAAGGAAAAGAAATCAATTGAGGTAGTGCTTGATGAAGCCCACGTGGGACGCTCAATGTTGAAAACAATTAGGAAACGACAAATGCAGTTTTTGGGACACCTGAATAGACATAAAAGGGTCTTGAACATCTAGCTCTCACTGGCAAAACAGAGGGCAAGCGAGGCAGGGGTAGGCCCCGAACAACATACTTAGGGAACCTAAACAAATGGGTAACATGGAAAGATCAGGGAAACGTAGCTTTTCTGAGAGCATCCGAGCAAAGGAATGAATGGAAAATCATGATCGCCGATGTCTGTCGCAGATCTGGCACTGGATGATGATGATGATCGATTATGTGGTCTCGAGTCAAATCAGAATCTGGACCTCAAACATATTTAGTTGATTGAGTGTTCACTAAAACCTGCTCAAGGTTGGGTATCGTAGGAGGGTAAGCTACATTGTTTAGCTAAAAATAGTCCGGTGAGTTTTTCTCAGAAGAACCAGAAAATAAGAAAATAATTATATCAGCGGCCTTGTATAAATGTGTATGCCCGATGCAATTTTTTTCGCGCTCAAAAAAAAACTTAAAATGGAGTGACAAATGACGAAAAAAAATAAATACAATCAAATGAAAGAACAGTCTTGATAATTGGCTAACTGAAGAGGTCTACTGCTTTAACCTATACTCATAGAATTTCAAGTCGGCACCATGTCGAATACCTGCGCAACCTAAGAAATACTAAACACCGAAAACACCTGCGCAATTTCCCAACATGTTTTGGAAAACTCCTTTGAACTTTTTGACAAGAGGATTAAAAACCCTCACAATTTTCCGCTGCCCGAGGGCAATGACTCCTGCCATTGAAAGAGCAATCAGATTAAGAAAATTCCATTTCGAATCGGTTGAACATAAATTTCTGAAAGTATTATCGAAAGAACGGACTCTGAAAAGGTTTGCACCTTAAATAAATTTAAAAAGTAAATAAATAAAAGAATAAATCAATAAATAAGTAAATAAATAAATAAATAAATAAATAAATAAATAAATAAATAAATAAAAAGAACAAAAGGTCAGATCAAAACTACTACTTTAAAACCGATAGTGAATTAAAGAACCCTTTCTCTACGACTTGAAGTAATACTTACGTCCAGACCCAGGACAGTCCACATAATTAGGATCAGAGGCTGCGGAGGATGCTCCGAGCACAATAAGAAAAGCACACGGGAACACAATTAGATTAGACATGTTCCGTCCGACTGCGACTGGCTGCAGCAGAAAGGATAGTACAGGTCTCATATTAACCGAATTGTAGTATCACATCGTACTATAATTATATCACGTTACGCGACCAGCAAAAATCGCCCTTTTTATGAGAACGTTGACTTTATTTATCTATAGAATCAATTGGGAATTAATGTGGGATGTGTTCAGGAGAAAAGCTGTTTAGAGGGGTCGCATTACAGCTAACCTCGTTATTTTAGAGCACGTCATATCGTAACCTGCATATTGTATTAAATCAGGCATCTATTTGTATGTTGTGTGGCATCGTGGTGACACCAGGCGCTCTTCAAAATAACGCAATCGAAGAAACCAGCATTTTTTTTGCCCCTTTACGCCTTCGCCTGATTCCACCGTATCAAGATGTTTTAGTACTACATCTCATCATTTGTATAGCAAGCCAGTCTTTCATAATTTCCTACTTAAGTTCAAAATTTTCATAGATTGGCTTATTGCACAAGTTTTTGGGAGATCTTTTAAGATTTTCTGTGACAATGAACAAGAATAAACGAGTAATTTTGATATATCCCCATGGTAAAAAAGAAAACCCAACAAAACTTAAAGTACAGTGCCAGTGTATTTTGTTATTAGTCTGCCGTCGGGGTGATTTGAGACATCCCCGATATGTCTTAAAGATTCGTTAAGCTGATGCTATCATTCTTATCTGTTAATAAATAAAATATTGGACAATTTTACGACGACCTTATGACCTTGTCTTGTAAACAACCTGATCAAGGAACAGATCGCACACACAATACTAGCCTACTGTTTATCTATTCAAAAAAGAAAACATAAAGCATCGATTGTTTATGAGAACGATATAACAATTAAACATTCGGGTTCAATGACATGATCATAATTTCGTTTTTTCGCGGTTCTCCATCTCTAGTACATTGTCCACTCTACAGAAACAGGTCGATGACATTTAACTCCTAACCTTGCAACTGGTTTATTGATTTTTTTCCAGCATAAAAAATATTGTGAGTTACTATTAAAGGAGGAGAGAAGCAACAGACGTTAGCCCACATGACGTTTGTATTTATGAACAATAAACTTATGTACAGAATGACTCCTATTTATTTTGTTTGGAAAAACCCACAGACAGACCGTGGCACTGGTTTCACTTTTAGAACACAGATAAAGAGTTGACATAGTTCTTTCAGTTACGCGGTTGGAACATAACAACGCCATCGAAATGGTAGTGATAAAGTATATTATGTTCTCATTAATTGACATGTTCACGAAACAGTGTTCACAATGAACTTGTTTGAGATGTAGTGTTACTGTAGAATTGGACTACTACTACTACTACTACTACTACTACTACTACTACTACTACTACTACTAC